TCTGTCAAGTGCTTGGATTACAGGCAGCCTTCTATGCATGCCTGCCATTTGTATGGGTACTGAGGTTCAAAGCCTGGTCTTTATGCCTATGCAGCAAGCTTTCTAGCGCATTTAATAAAATTTTAAGAACTGTAATAATAATGGTAACAATGGACACAACAATTTAGGCAGTTGGAGTGTATCAGGCACGAGGATAATTTTTTTCCCTGTAACAGCTTTGATAATTGACTTCTAGCCAGTTTATAGATCAGTTTTAGTTTGGAAAAATTACCTAACCAATAAATGGTTGAGTTTATTCGAATGCTTAACCATTGACTTTGAACTAAATGACTGACTCCAGGGTAAATGGGTTTTTGTCATATTCTGACCAAGTTCATTTAACATTGTCTTCCACAAAAGGCATAGGTAAGCTGCAAGCAGTGATGAATATACAAACACATTTGGTGAGGTGGACAGACTGCCATACAGTCACTTTTCCTCCTATTTATCTGTGTAAGATAACTATTTATACATTTGTAAGTAAATTGTTTCTTTTTTTGTTTGTTTTTGCTGGTTTACATGTTACAGGCTGAATTACATATTTTTCTGTTCTACTATAAGTTTTCTTTCTTTTACAATAAATGGGCAATAAGAGAGTATTCACTGTGTCTACACTTTTCTGTATCTCAAATTCTTCATGCTGAAACTCCTTTACCTTCTCCTCATCCCTAAAGGAACACTAGTCACCTGGGGATATCAGGAGAGGTAAAGGCACAGACCAAAAGACAAATGAAGTCTCTTTATGGCATGCCCTACACCATGAAGCCTTCACCACACTTACATTTAATGTAGATGTGTCTGATGTTTTGGGTAGTCACAATACTTCAAAATGTAATGCAGCCACCCTGTTAAGACATGAATCAGGATTTTTAAGTTTTTCTAGCTTTCTTAAGTTGCCCTTTGTTCTATTATTTATTGCTCTTTATTCTACACCCCAAACTGATATTGTTACAACGGGGACTGTGTGTAAAGTGTAAAAGCCAAACTGAAATCTTGTATCCTAATCATCCCTTTACAGTTCTGGCTCTCTGCTTAATAACGGGGCAATTAAAAGTTCTGACTTAAATTTTCAGAGAGCTGAAAAATTACGATGACAACTGCAGTAAAAAATAAGAGTAACTGAATATATGACTATATCATTGTTTCACTCTTTAGATATTTTACCAATGCAGAAACTTAAATTTAACTTAAATCAATATTATTACCTTTTTTTCTTACATCTCACTGTTTCTAGTCAAGTTTTAGAAGCAATTCCCTATATAAGTCAAACAGGCACCTTAAAAACTTAAATTATATAACATATTCAAGCGATCCACTTTTTAAAAAAAAGAACTTTCATTTATTGAAGACTCATACAAAGTAAGTTAAGTTCTCAAAAATACATTTTCACAGAGAATTTTATCAAATGTAGTCATCAGTTTTGTAGCTACATCCTACATAGTGGATGGCCCCACCTTGGGTCTGGGCTGTGGAAGAAGCCTGTCACGTGATTCAGATAAGGCGAGATTGTGCGTGCTAAGTACCTGAATACTGAGTTCACTGAGTGAATACCTTTGTAGACAAGTTTTCTCAAAGTGCATCCCATGGCCCCTTCCTAATACCATGATTCCTTTTCCTTACTCTTTGACAATTTCTTTTATCAATATTATTATATTTTTTAACTATTTAAAACAATTTTCAAATTCAAACATATTCTGATCATATTAAAACACACTTCTTGTTAGAATAGGCAAGCTGTCAAAAGTCCTATTTGTATCGCATATGCTTTCTTATTTTTAAAAAGATCTACTTTTATTATTTGAAATTATGTATATATGTCTGTGTGTGAGTATATATACTTGAGTATAGATGCCTACCAAGGCCAGAGGTATAGGATTCCCCTGAAGCTGGAGTTCCAGGCAGCTGTGAGCTGCCCAGTGTGGGTGCTGGTAACTGAACTTGAGTCTTCTTGGAGGATAGCATGTGCTTTTAACCACTGAGCCATCTCTCTAACTATTTTCCCTTTTTGTAAGGAAAATGAGTGAATACATCTATTAATTATCAATTTATAACACTCATGAGAAAACTTTTGTTTCAAAATCAGCATAATGGTAGAAATGGAAAACCTGAAGCAGCTACCTTGCTATTCATGTGTACTACAATAGTCACCCTCCTTATTGAGAGGAGAAAATTAATTTAAATTAAACTTTAAGGCCTTTCACCATCCCTTAGCCAACAGTTTGCTAAATCTTCAAAAGGGTGGTTTTTGTTCCTTTAAAAATTCTAACTTCAAGAATCATTAAAAATTCTACCAAGTTTACCTCACCATGTTAACCTACTTGTAAACAAGAAAGTGAAATCTCTTAAGTTATTGAAATAAAATAAATTGAAATGTAAAAAAGTCAAATTGACATTTTTGTTTATTATCTACAAGCCTAACTCCAGGCCAGGAGATGCCACATTTTTAGCACTCAAATATTAACAAAGTCATGGTAAGTACAATCTGAAAGACAGTTGGAACGAACTCAGTTGCTGGCCTTCCGAAACTCAAGGTTACAAACATTATAAGAAATAAATTAGTAAGGAAATTCTTTCTACTACCAGCATATTCTGGTTTATAAAATTCTTTATCAGATCTACAGTATTTTGAGTTCTTTTCAGTAAAACCATTAAAAATTTTTGGCTACATCTTGAATTAAATTTGCACAGAATTTTATTATGTTGACAAGGCTGGGTCTACACACAGTGAGAGCCTCTGCCTAGCATGTAAAAGACTCTATAGGCTGAGTTACCTCCCCAGCATAGGGCAGCAGACTGGGATGGATATGAAGGAAACCCTCTCTCCAACATTTCCTTATTAAATTCTAGATCCTAATAAATAACTAGAAAATACCAGGCAATAATTAAAGGAAGCAAATACAATGTATATTCTATCACAACCATTTATATTTAAAAGAATCTACATATTATCAAGCATATATGAATGTTTTGTTACCTGATAATCTACAAGGTCAAATTTCTAAACTTACAAAACAACTAAATATTGTATGGTAACTGTTACAGTCAATAAAAAATAAAGTAATAGAAGACAGGAAAGACTTCTTATAAGAATTTTCATAAAAAAATATTGTGCTGGTGGTGGCACACACCTTTAATCCTCTTAGCACTTGGGAGGCAGAGTCAGGTGGATCTCTGTGAGTTCATGGCCAGCCTGGTCTACAGAGAATTCTAGGACAACCAAAGCTGTAACATAGAGAAACCCTGTGTCTAAAAAAGAAACAAAACAACAACAAAAAAGAATGTTGTTCTAACAAGATAAAAAAAAAAAAACCCACAGAAGATATTCAGCTAATTAGTATTCATATGAAATAAAGATAAAATTTATCTTTTTTAACAAGAAAATTAAAACCCTTCAATTCAACAGTATGTTTACCCACCATTATCTGACTCTCAACTCTTTTTGTTTATTTTTTTGTTTGTTTTTGTATGCAAGAATGTTTTTCCTGTGTGCCACTTTTGTGCCAGAAGAGGGTTCCAGATCACCTGGATCTGGAGTTACAGATGGTTGTGAGCCACCATATGGGTTCTGGGAATAGAACACAGGTCCTTTGGAAGAGCTGCAAGTGCTCTTAATTGCTGAGCCATCTTTTCAGTCCATGACTTCCAACTCTTAATGTGTTTAATAGGAATGGCATAAAATTATAAAAATGAGTATTAGAAATATCTTACCGTATACTCCTTTGTCTAAAAGTAGTAAAAATTCATCCACAGCATTACACATCTCATACTCAGTTAGATCCAACAATGAAACAACTTTGAAATCTAGTTGCCTTAATAAGTTGGTCAGTTCATACACATCTACCAAAGGGGCTTTAAGCTTGGGGTGCTCCCAGTAATTCATATTTCCTATCAAAAGGGCAACCTTGTCCTTCGCTGTAAGAAAAAAAAGGTGGGGGAAGGGTGGGAATTAAAGGAGAATATAAAGATTAAAATTTATAGAAGTATTAAAATGAAAACTTTGCTTTAAGACTAGTGTTTTATTTCAAGTAAGACTTACTATATTAATTTTTATTTTAGAGATATTACTTTGCATAGGAGACTAAGAACACAACAATAAATATATTCTTTGGGAATCAGACAAAGGATACTTATTAGTTATATATGAAATATATACCAAAGTGTGCTTTCATTGAATTGGTTCTGTTTTACTGAGAATGGAGGAAGTAAGACAAAGCAACACCTAAAGAGGGGTAGGAAGAATTCACAGAGCTAGGAGAGAAGGAACTTCACAAGGACCACATGTGTTCCTATATTGGTTGTGTGGATGGACTATTTCCTCCAGCCTCTAAACTTAAACATTTTTATCATCATCATCATTATAGCATATGTGAATGTGGGCACACACGCACAATGGTGTGTGTGTGTGTAGTTCAGAGGGCAACTTTCATCTTGCCAGCTCTTCTTGACTTTTTAAAGACCTATTTCCTGTTTGCTTGGGATAAGGCTATTTGAGGAATTTTTTGAGGTTAATTTTTTGACTTTGCTCACACATAGAGAGGTGTTTTGGTGCAGTGGCAGATGAACAATATGTACTTATGCCTTAAAAAGTATCAGCTAGCCTATTTTGAGGTATGGCTTGGCCTGAACAGTTATGGGCAAAGCTTAGTGCTTAACAGACTTTACATTGCATCTTTCTTGACAGTCTTGGAGTGGTGACAGTGGTGGCAAAGTGTCAAGAGACCTATGCACTGCCAGCTGTATAAAGTTAGAGCACAGAGAATTACATAAAACACACAATACTTCATAGTAATCATTAAAAACTACACTACTGGTTTATATATTTACTATATAATGCTTTCCATTGTTAAATTTTATTTTAAAAATTATAAATTTCATCATTATTCTAGAGTATATGACTTCTAAATATGAAAAAAAGGTTACTTCTTAACAGCATATAATGGTCTGTCAGCAGTGGCCTCATACACCTCAGCATTTTGTGAGTGCACTGGGCCAAAATTGAGAAACTGACCTATAGGGTCTAATGATGCATTTTTCAAGACATACTTCTATCATTCAGAGATATGTAACTATTTGGGAAAGAATGATTTATAGAATCAAAGACTCCAAGAATGTGAGAATGTGAAGATATCAATAAATGCCTAAAACTCTTGCAAAATTTTTTTGTCAATGATAATTTTTAAAAGCTAAATTATATAACCTTTTAAAGTTTACTGGTAAGGAAGATGGTGGGTCTTACCTCGACCAACCTACTTGTGAAGCAGTTCCTGGTTGGCAGGAGAGCTAATAGAGAAGTAGAGACAGGATGAGACAAGATGACAAAGACCCATTCTAGGAAATGGTTGTGGCAAAGAGACCAGACAGAGAAAGGAATAGTAAAATCTGAATTTGAGGAAATGAAAAGAATAAAGAAAATTTCAAAATGGCAAGTACATAAGCAAGTCATCATGAGTTTTAGATGATAAATTTATTATAAAACCATTTACTGTAAAAGCCACCCACAAGTTCTTGAACACAGACATTTACTGGAAAAAGGATAGATGGGGCTGGGAGCACAGCTCAGTGCTTGAGTGCATGCTTAACATGTGTGAGGTTAAGCTTTCATCCACAAAAAGTGAGGACAGAGTCTACATCTCAGGAGTAAATTATACATTTCATAAAGTAAAATCAGTAATCATTACTGCTGAACTTTCAGTATCTGCTCAGTTACATCTGAGCTTGTCATCTCTCTGTGTGTGTAATTATCACATGTGCTTCTCACTACAGAACATCCTAGCTATGACTTTGTTCATATCACTACTATAGTTGGTCTTTCTTACCAAGTGACACTGGGAATCTAAAGAAAAAACAAAACTGGACTACATACAATTTTATCATTATGAATGAAATGTAGCAGTTTTTTTAAAGATAGTAATTAGTAGCCCGGTGTCTTCAACATCAAGGGCCTTTCTTCACATTTACTGTTGTCTAATACTGTGATTATCCCTGAACTTTGCTATCACTGAGCTGCTGCACTCTCAAATCTAATGTACTTTATTCTTCTACAACCCCCTTGTTGTGGATTGAAAGAAAATAGCCCCCAAAAGAGTGGCACTATTAGACGTGGCCTTGTTGGAGGCAGTTTGTCACCATGGAGGTGAGCTTTGAGGTGTTAAATATGCTCAAGCCATACCCAATGTCTCAGATCACTTACTGTTGCCTTCTGATCAAGACGTAGCCAGCACCATGTCTGCCTGTATTCTGATATGCTTTCCGTCATGATGATAATGGACTAAACCTCTGAAACTGTAAGCTGTCACCTCAATTAAATGTTTTTCTTTATTAGAGCTGCAATAGTCCCAGCACTCAGGAGGCAGAGGCAATTGGATCTCTGTAAGTTCACGATCAGCCTGGTCTACAAGAGCTAGTTCCAGGACAGCCTCCAAAGCCACAGAGAAACCCTGCCTTGAAACCGCCCCCCCCCCAAAAAAAAACAAAAAAACAAAAAAAGACTTACTATGGGTAGCCTGAGGGAGAGCTGACCCTGCCCTTCCTCTGCAGCACTCAGGAGAGTGGCCCTATGCTACACTTATGTAGTGAGAGATCCAACTAGCCGCACCTGTGGTGCATACGTGAGCCGAGCGAGTAGGATTTGGTCTGGGGTCCGGGACAGGCTTGCTCTCTCTTGGTTCCAGTCAGGTCAGAGAGCAGCAGGGCGTGGATCCTCAGAGCTGGAACTTGTGGGTTATTGGTTTCTCATGTAAGTGACTTCTCCCAGAATAGAATTAACCTATATCTATCCTAGTCCCGAGTATCTTAATCTGTACATCTACACACCTGGGCAATGCAGTGAAGCTAACCCTGAAGGTATAGGTGTGGAAGATCCAACCTTGGGGACATAAAAGCAGGAGAACTGGCCCACCCCTTGCTCATGGCCACAAAAGAAGTGAACTTGCCAGGACAATGCAGGAGCGCTCACCC